GTAGCAAAGCGTGTACACTTACATACCCTAGCCCACTTCTCCCACTTATGAATACGCATCCATAGTATGACATTCTTGATTTTCTGAAGTGGTTCATAGATTTCATGTCAAATGAGCACATAAACAAAATGGGAAGAGTTTTTTATTATGAGATTTTTAACTTCCCTGAGAAACAGGACAAGAGTAGATGATAATATAGTGGACTCATTATGTCCATACTGCCCAGTTTTATGCATAATTCCTACTTTTATCATTGTCATATTTATGTCACTTAGAAAATAAAATATTATTGACTCAACTGAATTCTCTCCAAACCCTACTTAAATCTCATTTCTCTTCACCATCCCACTAGCCATACCGCCTCAGAAGTAACCAGCACTACTCAGAGGTTTTCATTCCCACACATTTATTTTGTTTTTTGCCTGTTTGCATATACATAAACAAGACAATATGGTTTTTGTAATTTTTCAAATTTTTCTTACTATATGTAAGAGAAACACAATCAGTTTTCACTTGCTTTTTATACTCAAAAGCATTATGCTTTTTGACATTTATTCATGCTAATACCTGAAGTTCTGGTTGATTTCCACTTCTAAACATCCTGTTGAATTAATACACCATAGTACCTAATTTATTTTCCATTATGTTTTTACTATACATGTAATTGCTTATATTTTGTTTTGTTTTGAAACAACCCTGTTAAGAACCTTCAAGTTGTTGTTCGCATTTGTGAGTTTCTCATTCTCATCCCTCCATATTAATACGGGTTTGGTCATGGGGCATATTGAGTGCATGGAGCAACTGATATTACTAGATATTTCCACTTTACACTCTCCATAGTAGTGTAAAAACCATTCTGCTGCTTTATAACCTGCAAGCAAGTATTACTGTTCGATATTTCAACTTTTTGCCTGTACAATGGGAGGAAAATGTTATTTCTCTGTTTATTAGTGACATTAAAGTTCTTTCAATGTTTTAGACTGCCCTCGTCTTCTCCATGAACTGTCTATATCCTTTGCCCATTTGTCTATTGGATTGTGTGTTTTCTTATTGATTTGTAGGAGTTCTTTATATCTTCTGTACACTAATTGTTTAATGGTTATATATGTTGCAAATATCTTCTCTGGGTGAATAATTCATCATTTAAGTTTGTTTATTCTTTTGATGGGCGATTATTCCTTTTAGTGTAGTAAATTTCATCAGTATTTTCTTTAGTGATTTGTGATTTATGCTTTAAATGGTCATTCCCTACTAAAAAATATATTAAAATATTTATCCATTTTCTTCTGAAAGTACTAATTCTTTGTTTTACAATTTTAGGGCCTTGAATCCAGCTGAAATTTATTTTTGTGTAGAGTATATGGTAGGGAATTCAATTTTTCTATATATATATAGCCAGTTGTTTCAGTACCAATTTATTTAAGGGTCTATCCTTCTTCCACTTATCTGTTAAGCTACCTCCTCTGTAAATCAGGTTTCCATAGCAATGCGATCCTTTGTTCAACTTCATTAGTGTGTTTGTTGATCCCTGCTCTTATACCAGTGTCTTAAGAAGAAGGAAAAGAGGTTCTTTGCTGTTATTTTTATCTCTTGCTCCCTCTCCTATGTTCACCTTTCTGTCCAATAGGTTTGTGGGTGATGCAGCTATCCCCCAGTGAGGCAATGTCGCAGTGATGATCCAGAATTGTTACTGACACACAGTGATACTCAGGATATCACAGATCCTATTCTAGGACAGCGGGTGGGCGGTTTCATTCAGTCTCCAGTTGCTGGGCTGTTCTCTGTCTCATTCAGACCGTTAGACCAAAGCTTGCGCTAAGTCCCAGTCCCAGAAAACACCCTCTCACTATTATTATCAATCTCCTGTCATGTGTGAGGTGGAATGCCCCACTGAGCTGACTCTGACCCCACAATCAAAACAGGGGAATACTGAGCCTCTACTCCGCTGCCAAAGCCTGCTTGCACACCTGCCAAGCCTCTGGCTTCAGCCCCGCTTACTACTTTGCAGATCGATTCTATTTCCAATCCACAGATACGTTTACTTTATTTTTGAGCTCATCTCTGGTGCTCTGCTTTTTTTTTTTTTTTTTTTGCATTATCCCTCATTATTATGCAATTGGAAAAGAAGGGCTGCATTTGAGTATTAGGGACTTTGATACCTTGAATGGAAGTAGCAGAACTGAATTTTTCTAACTTGATTAAGATTGAACTGGCAGATCATGGGAAAATAAATCACCATGATGTGAGAAAGAAGAGCAGTATATTAGAAAGCAAAATAATAATAATGATAAGAGCAATGACAGTCTATGTTAAACTGTTCCAAGTGTTTTGCATGGATAATACGCCTTTTAATTTCATTATGTTCTTACACTATTACTATACTTATGTTCTGGAAGAGGGAGGAGGAGGGAGAGCAAAAAAAGAAAAACAGCAAAAAGAACAGAGGGGCTATGTAACTTTCTTGAGGTCACACAACCGGTAAATGGTAGACTTGAACCCAGTGTGTCTAACTCCAGAGCGAGAATCTTAACTATAGCACACGGTACTGCTTCATCCCAGCTTTGCTGCAGGGTAGCTCTGTAGTCCTGGGCATGTCACTTCACCTCTTTGTGATAACATCTTCTCAATTGTGAAATGAGATGTTGGCACTAGATGACCTCTAATTTGTTCTTCTGACTTCTAATCATCTATGATAAAAGGAATTCATAGTTCTGCTTAGTTGCCTATTTCAGAATACCTTCTGAAATTTGCTTTGGGAGGCAAAATCTTTGGCAAATCTCCAAATTTATTTTAAAACAATCTTTAATGAGATATGTAACCATCTTAAAAATACATTTTCATCATTTGAAATGTCCTATAAGAGAAGAGAGAAAGCAAGCTCTGCAGATCAATCATGAGCCTGCAATTATAATACCTGGTGAATGTCAGTTCACTAAGTAAGAATGAAATGTCTTGAACATAAATATAAAACGAAAGGTATAGTTGTGTGAAAAGACTTGAGTCCTGGTTTTTATTCTGCCTCTAACCCAAACTTAACTTTTTTGGACTCTGGTTTCCTTGTTTTTAAAATCAGATAGTTGGATTTTTGAGGTCCAACATCCCCTTAGTTCACAAGTCAGAATCTATCAAAGAAGTTCAGTGAAGGTATTATTTGAATAAGCTAAAAATATATAAGAGGTAAAAGCTGCTTTTATCCCATGAATGACAAAAATCTCTGGATCAAGTGAGTTTCTTAACTATCTCTCATAAGAAGAATATGTCTGTGTGAAGAATGTGGGCCCTTGTCAGACTGCTTGAGTTAGTTTCTTTCCAAAGAGTTTCTTAAACTTTCTGGTCCTAATACTACTCATTTGTAAAATGAGGATAATCACAATTCCTACTTATTGTGATAACTGAATGAGAGAAACTTAAACTGCTTATACCTGGAGCATAGTAGGTAATCAGCAAATGTTTGCATTTATTAACGGTAGTGATTTGAAGAATTGAGGGTGTCGGAAGAGTTTACGTCATTAAATATCTATTAAAAACATATGTGCATGCCATCACAAATAACTTAGGGGCCTAAAGACAGAAGGGCATTATCAGGGGGAACTTACTGCAATTTCTCTTACACTAAGATCTCATACTCCATATTAGTATTAGTTTGAAAAAAAAAAGTGATGATATAATAGGCATTCAGTACTACTGGATGCTTTCTACGTTAATAAAATTAGAAATGGTTCCTGCCTTCACAGTAACGGATAACGTCTAAAACCCATGTACAAATGGGAAAAGATGGTGTAGCAAATAAGAGACCTTCCTTGGCTTGCAGGTCACACAACGTCACACCCTGCAATCAGAATGCATTTGTTAGGAAGGAGACGGTGCAAAGAACCACAATCACGGTTTCTTCAAAATTTCCCAGAACTGTCTAAGCCATGGAAGCTGTATATAGCCTAAGATGTTCTTACCAAAATCTACTTTTCTATTCTTTTGGCTGAAATGGAGAAAATACAATTGAAATGTAGTAAATGAAGGGACAAACTGAGGGTGAGTAGAAATACTGTAATGGAAGGTTCATTTTATGAACACTTTTATTTTAAAGAGTGTATTCTTTAGATTATGAGTAAAATTTTATGTAAATTCAGATCTAATTTCTCATCAAACAGAAAAACAGAAGGACAAGAACCAAAAACAAAATCACTGACTGCCCAAACTGAAAGCTTCTTGCTTCCACCTGCAATCAGTATATGATATCTATTTTGACTCCTTCTTTGGGTTTTCACAACATAAAATTCCTAACACTTGGCATTTAACTTAAAAAAATTCAAAACAATCATTCAAAGCCATTTTTTGACTTGAAGAAACTACAAAATCCTTTTTTTAGTTGATGAGAGCAGGGACCAATTTCAAACAAGTTCAAAAAGAACTGATGCTGGAAACTGCCTTGAAGATACAAATTGCTATAATTATCTTCAAATATACATATCATTAAACTGAAATGGATGTCAATAAACCAGTAAAAAATATTTAAACTATTCAGGGCCTATTATTACAAAACAACAGAAAAACAATTTCCTCCACTCTTTCAACCACACTAACTCGGACTATAATTTTCACATTTGATCTCTATATACGAAATCAAATAATATTTTCCTTCTATTTACACTATTATTCTATTTTCAAAAGACAGTCAGATACTCTTATATATGTATAAATGCATTTTAAGCCATAGTCAGCATTTTACTTTAAGGAAAATGTGAGCACGGTGGTTTAAAAAAGAGAAATATTTTGGTAAGATCTGAACTGAAATAAACACAATACGGTATTAAAAAATATTCATAGTATGGTTAAAATTCTAATTTAAAGGTATGTTTAGAACAGTCATTCTTAATAACATCCAGAATCTTCTGGCTCTTTCCATAGAGGTATCGCAGTGCCCAAAAAAAACCATATAATGTTCCGTTATTCATTCTGATTGCAGTTTTTAATGTAATTTGCCCTGTGCATCCCAAGTTCACCTTGTCAGAGAGTACTGCTTCCCCAAGGCTGCCCCAGGGTCCTGTTGACGGATGGCTCTAATTGCAGTCGGTGCTGTGAACAAGGCAGCAACTCCGTGCTCCGCGAGCACGCGGAAATAAGCACCAGCATCGGGTGTTCCCACAGGCTTCCCCTACAAGGAGATTCATTTAAAATGTCACTGGGTAAAAGGTCTCATATTTCATTGACAGTTCAATACTTATACATTTAACACAGCGGTATTAATAAAATGGGGTGCTCAACAAATCTTGGTTTTAAAATATCCCCACGTTGTATCATAAATAAAACAAACCAATGCCCAGGCTTCAGAGAGGCCATTTGCTCCATTACATCATCCTAAAAGCTTTTCAAACTGCAGTTGTTCCTTTCTTCAGTTTCAAAAGATAAAGGACAGGAAATATATATCACATTCAATTTAATAATATAAAACAGTCTTCCGTTAGCCAAGAAATTAAATACCTTGTTTTGGGTGGTAGACCAAATGACAAATATGATTGCTGTGAATTTCTAACTTGAACACTCTTTTTCATAATTACTTTTAAAAGTGACAATAAGGGGCACTGGATGGCTCAGTCGGTTAAGCGGTGGACTCCTGATTTTGGCTCAGGTCATGATCCCAGGATCGTGAGATGGAGCCCCACATTGGGCTCCCTGCTCAGTGCGGTCTGCAGGAGGTTCCCTTTTTCCCTTTCCCTCTGCCCCTCCCCCAGTTCATACACTCTTTCTCTCTAAAAATAAATAAATAAAATCTTAAAAAAATATAAGTGACAACAACAATTCTCAAAGTGTTTGGGAAAAGAGAAAAATATTGAATCACAGTGATTTCTGAACAATGACTTTTTCAATTAAATGCCTCACTCCAAGGAAAGCAACTTCTATGACTTAAAAAAACTTCAGTAAGATATCCCCAAATGTATGTTTTCCTTCAAAATGATATTTTACAAATTCAATGGAAAATCCATGAATAAAAATCTAACAATTTTTATAGAATATGTAATCAAAAGGACACACAGCATTTTTTATTTATTTATTATTTTTAGAAAGAGAGAGCACACAGTGAGGAGGGGCAGGGGGGTGGGGAATCCCAATCAGGCTCCATGCTGAGCGCAGAGCCTGATGTGGGGCTGGATCTAACAACGCTGAGAGATCATGACCTGAGTCAAAATCAAGAGGCGGCTGCTTAACCGATTGAGCCACCCAGGCGCTCCCCAAAGCATTTTTTAATAGATGTTTATTTGAAATGGAAAATGAACATAGCATACATAAATCAGTGATTCTACAAAAATTCCAAGTGTTCCATAGAATCTATGTTGGCCCAACTATATCCCCTTATTCCTCAAACCATTCTCATCACTGCTACTTTGTCTTTTGATTCTAAAGCAAGGTTCCTGGAATTTTAATATATGTATATGTTTAAAAAAATATATATGTATTACATATATATTTCACAGTTAAATCCTTTTGGAAGGGGTTGGGATAAAAAAAGGAGAAAAGGTTTCTGATTTTCAACCATTCCTTGAAGACTTTAAAGTGTTAAAGAACATTAGGAATTCCCAAAAGATAGCTACTATATGTAATCTTTCCTAAACTTCTCTGTCCACAGCCCCTATATGCATATCTCATGGATCTTATATTCTGGAAAACACACTTGGGAAATACTGATAAGGTAAAAAGAGGAAAGAAGTTGCTAGTAGCAAACAGAGATCTCCCCCAACAGAGAATAATAAATGAACAGATGATAAGAAGAGGCCGACCACAGCTATTCATGAATTTCTACATCTACATCTACTTGGATCTTGGATAGGGCATTATTAATTTGTATTTTCTTTTTTTTTTTTAATGATTACCCTTAATATTCTTTAATGTAAGTATATTTTCTTTTTTTAAAATATAACCTCTTTCTTATATTCTGTTGCTTTTTCTCTTGCTCTTTTAAAACCGAAGTATTTATTGCAAAAAGAAATTCATTTTTATCATCACAACTATCCCAAAACACTTGATTTCAATTTATTCCATTATCACCTCATACAGGTCAACATGTTAATACAGTATAAAAAGCTGCCAGATATAATCTGGCAACTCATATACATAACTGGACTCACAAATTTTGAAGCTTTGAGCACATCAGTCTAAAATGAACCAGCAGGTATATTCTTTTGAACCAAGTAAGGTAAACATTTGACTTTTACTTTTTCTATCTGTCTTAGGCAGATGTTCAGTCCCTGGTGTACTAGATTGTGACTTCAGAAACTTGATCTCACCCACATAAAGATGATTTATTAACTGACCTTATACAATTGACTTTCCCTGTCTATGCTGCCATTTTCTTGCCCGCTAAATAAGAATAAATCACTTTTCCAATATTTCCTCGAAAGCTAAAAGCACTGAGATAATATTTTAAAGTAGTTTGACATCCACTGAAGAAAGATATTTTATAGCCAATTGGAACTGAATTCTACTACAGTTCCAGTGTCATGGGACAAAGATAATATACTCACTAAAGGGGGATATTAGTGCCATAACAAAATGCTATACCATGATTACCTACATAGAGGACACAATTTGATGTATTTTACAATGCCTTCAATTAATTATGTCTAATGATAATGACAGCTTAAACATTAGAAATATTAGTTAAAAACTCTACCATATCTTTTTATAAATAATATAATAATTAGTATTGCAATTCTGATCCACACCAAATACATTTTCATCAATATTCTATTTATTGAGCATAAAAATCATGATAACATAGCATTCCTATTAGGACACGGAAGGAAGTGATGTATATAATCTCACCTTATTCGTTTGTAAGTTAGTTGAGCTCAAAAAGGTTCAGATTTTTGCATTTTATTGTCCATTCCCACAGAATTATCCGATGCTATGTTTCACTATTTTAGAATTTAGTGACTCAATGGCTTATTGGTTTTATTGAATACTCTTCTCCCCTGCCCTCCTGCACATATGCAAGCTTGTTACATCCACACACGTGCGTGCACACGCAGGCAATATAATCCCTTTACAGTACTGTTTAAAAATAACCAATAACACACTAACCACACTGAGTTGCCTGGAGAAAGTGACTGATTCCAGAACTTGTATATTCAGTGAGGAACAACAGCCAAACACTATTCAACTGAAAAGGAGGAAGATTCTAAAACTGTGGGGATTTTTAACAAACATACACACCGAAAGCAGTAATGTGGCTAAAAGGTAACAATAACTTAAAAACCCTTCAAAACTCAAATCAATGTCATTGCCGTTTGCTTTTATTCCCTTTGCCCAAACTAAAGGCTAAAGTGTCCGTTGCTGCCCAGAAACCAAAAGCAAAAAGCAATCCCTACGATGGCACAGCAGAGATTCTAAGCTTTTGGCTGTTATAAATCATGAAGTTTTAACCCCAGAGATTTATAAAACATCAACTGCTAATATTTATAATGTGGTTAGTGATGGTACAAAGCATAGAAACCAAGACAGATAAATTCCTGAAGATTCAGTTGCACATATAATTTTCTACCACTTACGATTCAATGTGTTAAGTTTTAAGGAATCAGAGATGATAGACTATGAGTTAGAAAACCAGGTGATGTCTCAGCTTCTCACATAATCCCTACTGAGGTTCAGTGACAGCACTGGAAAGTAGTGAAAGACAGCACCTTACCAAGACAAAGACAAGCTTAAACACCAAAGTTAGATCTTTGAGCAAAAAAAATCACTGCTTTATTAATCCTATGATTTCGGTTTATCCAAAGGCTTGGTGTCAAAGCTACTTGTAGTTTCTCGGATTTTGACATAAAAATTTCCAAGTTAACTGAGGTTTCTGCCTCTTTTTGTGGCAGGATTAAAAATACATCTGGTCTCTTTGAACACTACTTCTGAGAATATCACCGAAGGCATGTTTGTACTGCAGTTCTCAGGTGAAGACAGCAACATCCGTTATAGACTAGTTCTGAATTTAATTTCAGCAGACAGGTGCAGCAGTGCTGGCTTGTTTATTTTGGAAGTGGGATGAAACTGGCAATAGCATCTGTTGAATCTCTACTACATGCCTGTATCTTTACCGAGGGCTGAAAGTTTGAGCATGCAACATCTAAACTTGAGACTTGTTATAACATAAGCAGTTCCCCAGGGTATAATATTTAGTGAAAGAAAAGTGAAATGCAGAATAGCGTGCCTATCATTCGGATGATGCCATTTGTATGAAAATAAAGGAGGGGGCATTGCTTGTGTAAGAATGAACTATTAGACACAGAAGAATGACTGCTCCCAAGTCAGAGAAACTGAACAGCAGGGAACAGAGGACAGTGGGATTTGCACTCTTTACCCTTTTGTGAGTTTTGAAGTTATGAACTAAATGAGTGTACAACCTCTTTTAAAAATGGGCTTTTTCTTCCCTAAAGTTCCTCTCTCAATAACTCACATTATCTTGTTCCAATCTTGAAAACATTACTGCCGCTTAAGGGCTTGTATCCAGAATATAAAAAAATATTAAAAAATAAAAAATATACTGATAACCGAAATCTGACTATAGGGGACCATACACTGAGAAAATAATTGGGGAGAACTGCCTCATTCTTTATGTCTTACTCTATAAACTAGACTCCAGACTGTACATATATATTATGATTCATAGGACATAGCACCCTGAATACAATTATCCTTTCTCCAAAGTCAAAAAGAAAAGCCCCAGGCCACCCACTCTTCCTGTTTTTTTGCCAGACTTCTGAAAGCTAAATTTCAGTTTGAGGGTTTTGTTTGGTTGTATTACTGCTCGAAAGGATTATATCTTAATCTTTTAGATGAAGGGTTTCTGACCGGACTTCAGGTCAAGTGTATGAGTATTCTGATTTTTTTAATGTGCATATATTCATTTTCCTAGGGAGGTAAGTCAATACGACCAGATTCTGAAAAGGAGTCCATAACCAAGGTTTCTAGGCATATGAGAGCCTCCTCAACAGAGGAATCTCTTCAAAGATTTTCTGTCTGGCTCTGGGAAACAGCTTGGCGTCCATATTGGTAAGGAAGAAGTTAAACTGTCACTATTTGCAGATGACATGATACTATACATACATATACAGACTCCACCAAAAAACTACTAGAAGTAGCAAATGAATTCAGTAAAGTTGTAGGATA